TTTAAGCGTCGTGGCTTGGAGTGTTTCGGCTGGCGATGGAAATCAGACGTCACAGCCAGCCCAGTGTGTGTTTTTTTGGACTGGCCGACTGGTGGCCTGGGAGCCAGGCAACAAGGGCTGGTTCATGACGCGATCTCTGTCTTGTGTGTTGCACGTGCAGGCGAGGTCATTAGCTGTGTCAGCCGCTGCGCCCATTCCCCGCACCAAACGACTGACCTGCTCGGGCAGTGACTGGGGCCTGGGAATGGGAAGGGAGTGTAAGGTTGACGACTCAGTCGCGCTCGAATTTATCACGGTGAGCTAAAAGCCATGGCTTTGAAAGTTGCCAACGGACGGGATGATTCAGACCTCGTAGACAGCCCTGTATGCATTTGTGTGGAATAACGAATTGGTAGACTGAGAGTCAGGCCGTAATAGATCCTTCTTGATTTCTACTCTATGGTGCTCCCTCTCGCTGGATTCGAGTCGTCACCTCGTATTTTATTGCGTGTAAAATCCTGGTCTGTGTATGCTGTGAGCTAGGGGTGTGGTTGTACGCCTAAATGCAGGTTTTCGCCGTGCAACTCACCTGCCATCTCTTCCGCCCCCGGCCTTCTTAACCCTGTCTTGATACCTGGCAGAGGTAGAAGCAGAGGTGAGAGTGCGGCAGGTGCATTTAAAGCTTATTCTCACTAGTCTACGAGAAAGTCACCGTACCCACTCTTAGCCTGTTGTGGAGCACGGGGTGGATATCGTGAAACCGACGGTCGAACTCTCCGATGGGTACATAATATCAACCCCTGTTATTTAAGTGGGAGGTCGTTAGGTAAAATGCCATCAAGTCTAGTTCTAGTTACCTGACCGCTTTACGCCAGAACGCCCGAATTAGATAGTTTCTTCCACTCTTCAGTCACCCAGCGGGAGATGAAGTTGAGCTGTACTTAAAGTTTGGCGTACGTTGTCTTTAATTTATACCGATGTCCGGAGATCCGGGTAAAAACAAAGGGGTGATTCGGACTGATGTTGACACGCACGGAGAATTAGCATTGCTTGGAAGATGTTGCCAAGGCGTCTCCAGAAGAAACATTCCGTGCTTGCTACACAAAAGTTTCACACTGACATCACGAACGTTTCCAGCAAACGTAGTCTCCGGCCTCCATTAGTAACAATGACAAGTTATTTGATTCTTAAGCTTTACGGGTTTTCCAGAGTACAAAGAATCGTCGTTGGTAACTCAACGTCCGGATGGGCAAAGGTGGAAAGTGGTGTCCCACAGGGTTCCGTCTTAGGCCCAGTACTCTTCCTGATTTATGTTAATGACTGCATCAGCGAAATGAATTGCAAGGCTCTCATGTTCGCGGATGACATAAAAATATGGAGTGAAGTCAAGTGTGATGATGACGCAGAGAAGTTGCAGTCGAACATCAAAAAACTGTGTGCTTGGTCGAACAGATGGCTTTTGAAGTTTAACGTGTCCAAATGCGTGGTTTTGTACCTGAATACCGGCCGTAATGCCTCTCCCAAACACCAGTACTATATTGACGCGACGAGGTTAGAAACTGCGGAAAGACACAGAGATCTGGGTGTATGGGCGACCACAAATCTATCGCCATCAGAACACTGTAGAAAGATGGTCCAGAAGGCAACTAGTACTCTACACTGGATTAGACGGGCATTTAAAATATTGCCTCCCGAACTTTTTGAAAGACTTTTTGGTGTCTTTGTAAGACCTCATCTCGTGTATGGAATGCCAGCAGCTTCACCATGGATAAGGAAGGATTTTGACTTACTCGAACAGGTGCAACGCAGATCGAAAAAGATGGTCGACGGTCTGCAGCATTTGTCTTATCAGGAGAGGCTGAATTTGCTTGTCTTTTTCCCTCTCTCTTATATACCATTAAACTGCAGTCTACATTGGACTTTCCGGATTGTGTGCGGCAAGGTTTGCTTATTAGGAGCGGGTGACTTCTTTGAATTTGCCCGTACAAACCAACTACGCGGCCACGCATACAAAGTCGGGAATGAGCGCACGCGGTTAGACCGTAGAAAATTCTCCTTCAACTAGCGGATTGTCCGACCGTGGAACTCGCTTCTAAACGAGATGGTGACGGCTGACACAGTTTGTGTGTTTCAAAGAAAGCTTTCTCGCCTAGTTTTCGACAGGAATCGGCTTTTACAGCATGATTACCCACAACCAATTTTGTAAAATCTGTCATATACAATCTTCCGCACTAATTTACAGTGACCCCATGCACTACCTTATGATTACCATTGAATTGTGACCCAATCACATTTTAAATGCCTGCAATGTTATTTTATTTTTGAGTACGAATCTGCGAAAGCACTGTACATAAATAGGGTTCAGTTCAGTTCAGTTTATTGAGGGAAATAGGCGTAAGCCCTTGAGTACCCTATTTGCAACGTAAAAAATGTGTGGTGTACAGATAGATGTTCTGGGCTGAAATAGTTAGAACACGCCCATAATGGTGGGACAAAATGAGAAGGAGTTACAGGGGTTGAGCTCGACTTCTCATCGCTCATGGCCATTTCAGAACATAAATATGTCCAGATTCTTCTTAAAACTTTGTAGAGATGGTGACATCACAACATCTACAGGGAGCTAATTCCATGGTTTGACCACCCGAACCAAGAAGGAGAACTTCCGCACATCCAGCCGTGCCTGCTGAGTGCGCAGTTTTAACGGGTGACCTTGGAGGTTGGTCGTGGTAGCAAATTCAAAAAAGTCCTCGAAGGCCATACTGCAATCCAACCCCTTTACAATGCGGAAGGCTTGCAAGAGATCTCCGCGAAGTTGCCTGTAACTCAAAGGAAAGAGGTTCAGATTTACTAGGCGGGTTGCATAAGGGAAGGAGCTTTGACCCCTAACCATCTTCGTGGCTCTCCTCTGGACTCTTTCGAGGCAGTTTTGATCCACAACAGCCCACGGCCTCCAAGCTTCTATGCCGTACTCTAAATGCGGCCGGACGAATGTTCCGAATGTCTTAGAGAAAGCTTCTTCCTCAAAGTCCATAAACGCACGCTTGATGCCGTACAGTACGGACATTGCTTTTTTTGCCACCCTCGAACAGTGGGCGGATGGTTTTAGGGAACTCGTCGTAAGCACACCGAGGTCCCTTTGGGCTTCGACCTCTTGTAGGGCTGCACCGCCCAGAAAGTAGCCTCTTGTGCTGGCGGATCTGGCTGTGTTGCCTAGGCGAAGTATGCTACATTTGGCGACGTTGAACCGCAGGAGCCAACGGTTTGACCACTCCTCCAACCTATTCAGGTTCATCTGCAGTCTGTCTTCATCGGCAGGACCCCGAATTACACTCCATATCTTCATGTCATCCGTAAACATTGCTACATCACAGTCTAAATCTCTTGCGGCATCGTCGACGTAGATAAGGAACAAAATGGGTCCCAGAACTGAACCCTGGGGGACACCACTATCGACCACAGCCGAATCTGATTTTCCCCGACCGACGCACACAACCTGGTGTCGACCCACAAGGAAGTTTTCGATCCACTTAAGGAAGTTGCCACCGATCCCTATTTTTTCAGCTTATGTAAGAGCCTTGGGTGTGGCACAGTGTCGAAAGCCTTCTGGAAGTCGATGAAGGCTATGTGGACCGCGTGCCTGTCTTCGAGAGCTCGGGTCCAACTCTGGAGAGATTGCAGCAGGTTTGTCGTGCAGGATCTTCCTTTTCGGAACCCATGTTGGCAGTTCGATAGCAAGCCGTGGTCTTCAAGGGCTCTGCCTCTAACCCTCCAAATATATCCATATACACACACGGATACACACTCAGCCACCCCTCAACCTGGTTCCGACGAAGGCGCAGTCTTCACCACGGCCGGTCGATGTCCTAGTCCTGGGGACGAGAAAACGGACAGCCGTTGCGGCGTAAACAAGATTGTCAGCCTTAGACGACAGCTACGGTCAATGAAGGTACAAACGACGGCCACCAACGTCTCAACGCCGGCCCCCGATGTAGATTGAGTACATTCCGTCACCCTCCCTCCCTCTGCCCTCCGTCCGCCGCAGTCCCTGTGCGCATGCGGCTGGTGGCCACTAACGATGATCCATCACTCCCCCTTATCCGGCGAAAAGACGCTCTAGGACTCCCAACCCACCGCTTCTTCCCTGTCGCCCTGACTTCATATATAAAAAACCGTCTTCCCATGACTGTCACCCACCTATAAATACTGCGAGGTCCGATACCACACTCACCTCCGACGATGGAAGCTTGTTTGCTTTTAAAACTTCAGGAGAGAAAAACTATGGTACCGAGATCGCCTTTTCATCTCATTTATGTCCGGAGACGCGCATCTTCGCTCCAAATTTCCTTGATGGGATCCCGACGGGTCTTTAACAAAAAAATATTATTAGCAATATACACATGCTTTCGATTATTTTCCTCTATTTCGACTTTTGATAAATCTGGTAGGTCATTTTTGCTTCTATGTATTTGGCGATAGCTCAGCTCATCATGGTTTCTTAAGCCTGCTGACTATCTCTTCTTATTATTTTTTTATTTCTAAAAGGCACTTTAGTGCTCACTTTGCATACAACGTCATCACGTATCAGTAAACGAAGTGACCCTCTTCCCAGAGCCTGCGCGTTGATCATAAACGTTTAGTTCTAAACATACTCGCTTGCGTTGTGCACTCGTTGCGTAAGGGTAAAAATATCGTCTTGCATACTAAAGTGTCAGGAACCAAATTTTTGTCCTGTCAGTTTTTTCTCCATGGTGCCTGTAAATTGGCGTTAGAGAAATAACTGTTATAGATAACATGCAACCAAATAAAAGCCCTCTTGCGTACCGGAAGATGAAGTATGAAAATCATATGAAACTGCTCCCATTGAAGAAAACATAGGCAAATCTTGAGACCGAGATGCCGGAGTCCTATAAGCAGATACCTGTTCATGTAAAATTATTCAGCAAATTTAGTAGAATGTTTTAATGCGCTCATAAAAGCGCGGTATATTCGCGGGGTTTTCGTACCGCTCATTTGGTCTTGTGATGGCCCTGGTGTTCTCGTTATGGGCTAGACGCACCGCAGCTCGCGGATTAACTTTTACTCCGAAGTTGTTTTACTCTGCCAGTACACCCAGAACTGAGAATTTGTACAAGGTACTTGGCCTTTCACCCGGAGCAACTCAAAGAGAAATCAAGGAGGCCTTTTACTCCCTCTCCAAGCTATATCACCCTGACAGAAGTCCGAGCAGCGAGTCCAGCACGAGATTCAAAGAGATTTCCGGTGCCTACGAAATTCTTGGCGATCCAGTTAGGCGTATGGACTATGACCGTGGACTGCTCATCCCGAAGCACAGAAGTGAAGAGTCGTCAGGCCTCGACGCCGACGTGCTTCGCAAGTCCAGTGATGTTTCTTTCACATCACAATACGCGCACTCCTATAATAAACACCTCGACGATATCTGGCGCGCGCGTGCAGACATTTCTATAAGCAAAAGTGCTTTTGACTTCCGACTGGATCAGAGAACCTTCATCTCCGCCTTCTACCTTACCACGTTTGGAGCTATCCTCGGTGCTTATCTCTTGACAAAGTACTACGAGGAGCCAATCCCATTAGTACAACACAATGAGGTATAGGTCCTGACAAAGTGCTGCGATTGTCTCCTAGCCTTCATCTTAGTTGTTCTCAGCAGTTGCAATATAATATTCTCATCGCCACTTTTCTTAATATAACTAAGGTTTTCCGTCGGATGGGTAGTTGGTTTTGCTAGACTTTCTCTGTTTTGGCGCCCCAAATGTCCCAGTCAGTACCTTCTTCATAGGCACTTGTGCTGCTCAGTTACCTGATTGCGTATGGTGGTGTCTTTGGGTTTTTACAGCCCATCAAACGGTTGTGTCCAGGTTGTTCTGCATCACCCTTTTACATATGATCCTAACTATTCCAGTTTTCGGTCACTCACTTTGCCCTGGCAACTCCCACCACCTGTTTTGAACTGTTTGCGTTCGGTCAACACGGTTGCGTTTGTCCTAGCTGCCTTAGGGCAGATGTCTGACTAAATCTCCCTACACTACTGGGAATGCACCGTAGAAGCACGGACAGCGAGAGTAGCTGTGAACGTCCCCACACTTAGCAGCCACTTGCCCCAGTTGGCGTGGGCTATCTGCTGTTTCACTCGGGTTTATCTGGAACTGACTACAGGGAGTTTTGGCAAAAGTTTGGGACTTCACAGTGCTCCTGTCATTTTGGATCCTTTTACAAATGACGGGCTTGGTAGGCTGTCATGCGACTTAGTCAGACTACATATCCGTTGAATATTATTTTTTCGTTTCAATGCTGTTCTAACAGTCGCCGGAAATTCCCAGAGTTAGCAATGAACCCGTTCGATAGCGTCCCAGGGTTTTTCTTCTGATGTGTAACACTTGAAAGCGGTTGGAGCAGAAATACTTTTGGTGATATACCCGCTAAACATGGTTGTCGCTAGTGAACTTAAAATGTAAAAGTGACGCTGGGAGTCTAGCTGTACCAATTCGGATGTCCTTGCTGCAGATTATGTTGGACGCACGTCATGTTATCGGACTGGGGGTTGCCCTGCAGTGTGTTTTCCAATTTCTTATAGGGTAAATACCACGGAAAGTGCCCCTCGCTAAGAGGGTAAGTATGCTGAACACCCGTTTACTTGTACTCGCAGATAGTTATCGGGACAAATGTCAATGCCCACTTGCGACAAATGGTGTCCCCTTATACTTCCATGAGCCTTAAACTTTTCCAAGGTGGTTTGAATCGCCATGTCCATTCCATCTCAAGCTCATTAAGTGCTTGCGAGTTCCGATGCTCTGATCTACAGTCAACAACCTGACGGGGTGTTGGAACAAGCGAGGAAGTACCCCCCTGGTACCCCCTCTTGTATTTACTACCAGTTGCCCTGCAGCCGCCTGCGAGGTTCAAGATGGGACCTCAAAGCGTGATGGGACGAGCGTATCCCGTAATGCCAGCGGTGAGCCACCTTACACTATGTTCTGAGAAAGTTAACAACTCATTGGACGAGAGTAGGTGTGTGTTTTCTTCGTCCTACTCTAGATTTGCGTTATTCCCCTCGATCAATTTATATTGTGGTCCATGTGTTCTTTTCTTTTTAGACCTTATTTCATTAGTGGTGTCATTTTGGACTTAAGATTAGCCTATGTAGTCTCACTCACCATATCTTTATGCATCCGTGATTGTGCCTGTTTCCAATTTTTCAATCATCGGTACTGCTACTGAAATTTTGTATGACTGTGAATAGGACAGCTACTTCTTGTGCGTAAATGACGGAAAATTCAGCCACGCAAGATGTATCTTGACGTAGGAGCCATATAGGCGAGGGTCGGTCAAACATTCGCATTGTTTTCAGTCCAGCTGCTAAGACAGTTCGCGATACTAGGTCTGCACGAGAAGCCAAGACGAAATTCGTCTGTTTCGAATTATGCAATCACACGGCTACGTGGATGCTTACGCTTGCAAACTGCGGGTTATCTGCTCGCCACACGTCCTATTGCACCGAAACTTCGCAAACGGTCAGTCACTCGAGCCCTGCTGCAGGCACGCAGAACATAGGATTTGCCTAGTACACTCGTCTACACAAAGCCAGTTGACTTTAAAAACGTGCAGATGATGGCGGCCGAGCAAATCTAACCCACAGTAGAGACCGTCGGAGGCTAACTCCCTGTTAGGACTCCACAGATCACTTGTTACATGTATTACCTGCGAGCGACTGGCCATCAAGTTTCGCCAGTTTGCAGAGACAAATCGTAGAATTACTGCCTACGCACCTTATGAGATTTGTTGAACTTCTGAGAATCGTGTAACATCTGAAGGCTCTGTTACTTTATGTGGTGTTTATCTGTTGGACGGGATGGTGTTTGTGAAAAGGCTAATAAGTGGATCTTTAGGAAACTGCCCACAGGCTAGGATGGGGAAGAAGCATTTTCCGACCCTTCTCATTTACCCTAGCCATCGGCTAGTCGATTAAAATCTATTTTATCAGCCGCCACACCCGTTCTACGTCATTCCTTGGCCCTACTAGTCGTGGAATTTATATGATTCCGACTTTTTTAAAAACCCTCCTTTATAAGAGGGCCTGGTCCCACTGGATGTAATGAGGTCCAACTTGCCAGTGGTCGTTCCCTAGTCTCAGAACACCATCTGCTCGACTTCAGTTCACCCTTCTCAGCATTGACAACAGTGCCACGGTCCAGTCCGACCGCCTGCCTTCCGACGTTTCAAAGCTAAGTAATCTGGCGTTCCATAAATACTTCAGGCAGCAATACCGAGACTGGCACAGAGAGATATTTGTCGTGGTTAAGACTTCCAGTGCCTCGGATTGGGGGGAGGGAGCATCGGCTCCATGACTGACTCCGTGGACTCCAATTTTTATCAACTTACCGCCGAAAAATTGGATTACTCCAGGGTTTCGTGAATGTTGCTGGATGAGAACGGATGTGGGGCCCAATGCTGCTGAAATCTTTGCCACTTACTTTGGTTCTTGATGCGTTTATTCCCAAGGTGGAAACGGACTTGCCGCGGTCATTTCTAAAAGAGCTTTTTTAAGTCTACAAATGGCCGAGGGAATGGTCAGGTCATCTGCATGATCTTGGTAGTAGGACTCTTAACGTCGTTCTTATGAGAATATTTACACGAAATGTTGATTTTCAGAATATATGCTCCTATCGAATAATTAAGCCTGCGTCAACAGCAATGCGTGAAACATAAGTTAGTGAGTGTTGGAAAGCGTAGTCTCTGTCGTCGTTCGAGACAGAGCCCCGACCTGTCAGAATGCCAAAACGAACATCGAGGCTGTAATTTACCGTCCTATCTCACGTTTCGGTCCGTGCGGTAGTATACATAACCGAGACTGGAAACTCGCAGTCGTTTGGTTTGGGTAGTCTTACGGCAAATTCCTGTACAGAATACAACTTAGCTTCCGCAGTATTTCCCCTTCTATAATTATCTATGTATATAGTTAGCTCGTGATACTAGAATGTCTGTAAGGGACACCTAACACCCTCATTACCCAGGCCCACCACATACATTAGCAGTGGCAGCGAAGGCCGGAAAATTCCTCGGCATAGGCTAGCGACGAAAGTGCTCCAGAATCTCACACTCCAGCAGTCCTACTATTTAACTGCCTTCAAACATTCTGGAGGAGATGATAAGCTTGAAATCAGTGGCTGACATAGTGACGTTCGGACAACTTTATCTTCGAATTCGCACGCATAATTGGTCTCTGCGTTCGTCCTTGCTATCTCAGCCTAGTCATGAACCAAATGTCGCCAAGACCTAGAAACCATGGCGGTCGGTGGCCACGCTATTTCTTCGTAATGTGATAGAAATAACCTCTCGGAGATCTGTGGTATACGGTCAAAGACCTCAGGCTCCTATCAACCCCAGACATGTTGACCCACTGTTTTGGTCTTAGTGAGCTAAGAAAATTAAACATGAGCCACTGTGGCAACAGCCCACGCGGATCATCACTAGGCGAGTTGTGTCTTGGTTTGCTCAGAGCCTAAGCTTAAATATTTTCGCACTTGATTCTTGGCCATCATAAGAAAACTTCTAAATGGGACTAAGAGAGCTATTATTTAGGTCTAATTTTGACGATGTTCTTATGTTTTTAACAAGCCCGATAACATTATCACAAACCACACGGAACTGAATTTGGGCAAAATCCTGTGAAAAATGTTAAAAGGCCATGTGCCATGTTCGATATTTATGTGTTTTATGGTGTCTAAGACCCCATGTAGAACAGACTGCTAGATGTTGACTTGGGATTTGAAAAAAGATGGAAAAAGCTATATTAGTAAATCCACAGAATTCTAAGTACTTTTGTGACAGAACAGACTGCTCAGAAATATTTAAGTCTGAATCGATTATGCTAATCTGCCGACATGCTTATGGCACGAGAGCTGAAGGACGTCACATAGACGTTCGATTTGTTCGTGAAAATCACCATGCACTTTCTTTTGTCGGCTCGGTCAAAACATGTGTCCAAGCTGTAAACTGCGCTTGGTAAGTTGTTAACTCCAGCAACAGTCTACAATACAGGAAAAAGTAATATACCGTCAGGACAAGGCCAGAGTCAAAATAATGGCATTATTGATGTGCCTATGAGCACCACTCTTAAAATTCCGGCCATAGTTTTCAAAGTAACTTGCCGGGCTAATCGCTCTCGTAATACGCGATTTGTTTTGTGTATTGGCCAAGGATTATTCAGGGATAAAATACTTTCAGTGGGATACTATTTGGCCGTAACGATTTCAAGTCGTGTGGTTTGGTTGAAAAGCGAAACGTGGTTATGTTACGTAGCGTTAGAAGAGAGAAAGGTGCGTTTAAAATACTCTGTGGGGTTTGAAAATCTTTCAAACTGGACGAAGGAATTTATTCTAAGCAGGTGTCAGTCTCAGGTCCGCAAGCCTAGTATTCCATATCAATTTCTTCTGCCGGCGGCCTGAATCTCAAGGCAGACAACTAGTGGATCATGACCACAAGCTATGCACAGTCAGAAAGGGGAGAGTGTTGTTCCCCGGAACGAAATTCGTAATTGATCAGTCTGCATATACTACTCTTCCTGAGCATTCTTCCAACAAAACAAATGCTAGCC